TCCCCTGCCTCACCCTGCACCCTCACCCTCCTGCTCTGCCCAGCGCTGCCCAAAGCTCCCTGGTTTGTGCCGAACGCCCGGGCCAGGCTGGGATTGTGTGCAGGAACATTGGGGCATTGTGTGCAGGCAGCAGCTGCCCGCCTGGTGGCCCCGTGCAGGAAGTATTACACAGCCCAGAGCCCCAAGCACAGGGCCAGCTGAGCGGGGCAAAGCTCATTACACCCAATAATCCCCTAATAACGTAAATAGCATTAGAGGCCTCGCAGGCTGGGACACAGCAGCCCTGCAGAAGGGTGGGAGCTGCCCAAGGAATGCCATAATCTGCCCCCACTCTGCTCAGAGCTGGTTTGGGACAACAATTCACGGGTTTGTGCCGCACTCTCAGTGCAAAACATGCCCAGGGCAGGGCTCCTGTGGGGCTGTGCCCGTGTCCTGGTGGGCTCTGGCTGCAGCCAGGCAGGGAGTGCCACAGGGCTGCTGTGTGGGCACTGGGCAGATTTGCCAATGATCCGGATTAAGGTGGCACCTCCGGTCAGGGATTGCTGCCCTGGGGTCAGGCAGCGGTGCCAGGGCCCAGGCAGGGGTGAGCTGGGCAGGGGACAGCCCCAAACACCCCCAGGGCACAAGGGACAGACCCCAAATACCCACAGGGGACAGCCCCCAACACCCCATGGGGCACAGGGGACAGCCAGTGTGTGACCCTGGCAGGAGACAGCCCCAAACACCCCCCAGGGCACAGGGGACAGACAGGGGGTGACCCTGGCAGGAGACAGCCCCAAACACCCCACGGGGCACAGGGACCCTGCCCAAGGGCTGCTCCGAGCTCACAATCTGCAGTTCCCCTCTGCAATGCCCTCCTTGGCTTCGGGAGGGTCAAGGACCTTGTTTGGTTTCCTGTGCTCTTCCTGCCCCTGTCCAGCCTCCAGCAGGATGGGGAAATGCTGAACCTCTGGAACACTCTGAGCACTTCAGGAGTGCAAGGATAACAGGGGATAATTTCCATTTGGAGGGGTTGCTGCTCACCACCAACACAAACAGCAGGGCACAACACGCTCAGAACAAGCTCCTCCAGCAGCTTGGGCTCCCCCCAGGAAGCCCCAAACCCCACAGCCCCACATACCCAAGCACAGCAAACCAGGAACAGCTTCCCTGAGCACCCAGAGACATTTTTAAAGCTCCATTCCTCCTTCCTTACAGGTGATGCTCCTTTCCCACCTCCCTCTTCCAGCCCATTGGCCCTCTAGGAGGGTCCATCAGGGATGAGCTGCTCCAGGTGGGGTTTGGATCATTATCCACAGGGAGCTGGATATTCCCACCCAGCCCTGCTGCCAGCAGGATTATAACACTGCATCTCCACAGGAAGATGGGCATGCCTGGCTTAATTAACAGTAATTAACATTCTCACAATGCTGGGAGAGCCACAGGTGAAGGGGACTGGGCAAAGCAAGCATTCACCCTGAAATGAATAGGGAGAGGCAGGGCCACCGTGGGGAACTGAGGTTGGTGGGTGCCAGGGGGCATGCGGGGACTGAGAGCTGGCACCTGCAGCAAAGGGTGCCAGCATGGGATGGATCCAGCCCTGGGGTGCTGAGGGAGGTGTGGGTGTCACTGTGGGATGGATCCATCCCCTGGAGTGTTTAGGGACATGTGGGTGGCACTGTGGGATTTTATTATAATTCCATTTATTTTCTTTTCCTTTTAAGCCTTCTGATGAAATCCTTTCTTCTGTTCCTTCAGTATAGTATATATATATATATATACACACACCTTATTGGTAATATAATATTATATAATATAATAATATATAATATATAATAAAATAATAAATCAAGCCTTCTGAACATGGAGTCAGACCCTTGTCTCCTCCCTGGTCCTGGAACCCCTGTGAACACCCCCATATGCTCCAGGGTGAGGATTTCCCCTCAGGCAGAGCTGAGCCGTGTCCCAGGGGTGCAGGGAGGAAGGGTGGGAGCTCCAGGCCACGGGATGTGGGATTTTCTCATCAGCAGCAGGGCCAGAGGCTCCTGCCTGCTGTGCTGCCTGTCCAGGGCTTGGCTGCAGCCCCAAGAACGCCCTGGGAAGGAAGGGCAGGATGGGCTGGCAGGCAATGGTGCTGCTCCTTCAGCGGGCACGGAGAGCCTGGGCTGGGCCTGTGGGGCTGCCCTGAGCCAGGAATGTGCCTGTTCCACACACAAATC